GGAAAGAGAGCAACGGCTTTTACCGCGCTTGTATTCGCGTACACAAAGAATTTGTACGCAGAATAAGATCGCATGCAAAGACAATACATTTATGCGTAAAAGTTCCTTCATGAACAATGCTTCTATTATATACGTGTATATTAAAGCCGCACATGCGCGTGCTTATGTATGTATATTGCATACATCTACACGAAACTTATACAAAGACTGCAATTTACCATTCTAATTAAGCGCCGAGACAATCTTAATCTTCGTAACATTGTTACTGGTACCGTTTGTGAATAACGTTGCATTGTGTATATTCAGCATAGTTACGTAATAATCACTTTTCACCGAATAATTAGCCATTGTACAAACAAAAAGCTTGTGATAAAATATAATGATATTTTATTACATAATTATTATAAAAATATTATTATCGAACCAGCAGCAAGAATATTATATCATTTGCATTCATTTCCACGTTGATTTCCTCAAAAGTCAGATAATTTTTATATAAGTAAAAATAATAATAATTTTTACATAAGTAGAAATAATAATAATTTTTATATAAGTAAAAATAATAATAATTTTTATATAAGTTAAAAAAATCATTTCTCTTTCGCTCGTGTAATAATTTAGATTACAGACGCTTTAGATTTATTTAGTTAAGGATATTTTCGGTTTCCACGTAGAATTTACCACAATTTCGAGAAAATTCGTACCGTACGACTATGGAACCGTACCGTCACTTATCGAAAATTGGCTCGACCGATACCGAGCTGTTCAAATTACTTCTTGGACTACATACGCCCACACATACACATACGCGCATATTGTATGCACGTAATACACGCGCCCACACGTGAATTTCCGAGCACGTACGTTACACACATCAACATCGTACGTTTTGGCGCGTGTATGTGTGTACAAGCGTGATCATCAAGATACACGTTTACATCTGACACGCGAATACATATATATATATATATAGGCGAATGCAGTATATATGTTGCAAATATACGCACGTCTTCCGATTTTGCCCAACTTCTCCGCAGTACGAATCTTCAATCGTGCCAGCCACATGTGTATGTGTATGTACATTCAACGTAACATCTACGTACGTTCATTTCTCACTTATATATACTACGCTATGTATATATACAGGCACGTGTATATATTCTCACGTTTATGTCCGCTATGCATGTCCACTCCTTCCTTTACAATTGAGTACAAACTGTCCACATGACTTCTTTATTTGTAAGCTACGCATACGGTGTCTCGAGAAGAATCGTAACAATAATAAGGCGGTATTGTTATACATTGAAATGTCGAGAAGACATTTTTTTCTTTAACAGAACTTAATCTCTAATCGCGGAGTTATTTAACGTTAAAAATTAAAGAATTTTAACGAGTTAAAATTTCTGCAGATGAATAAGCAAAAACTTTTCTTTAGATTCTTTGAAGTAGATTATATACCGGCGAAGTCTTTTAAATTGAAGTCTAATTGAAATATTCAGGGAAGGTATAAGTATGAGAGAAAAAATCTTCTTTAATTCTTAACACACAAAAATACGCAATTAAAAATTACGCTAATATTTCGGTTCGCAAATTACATGATTTTTCACATCTATTTATTTCCCTATGCACGTATAAACACCTTACACATGCATTCATTTTTCAACATATTCTTAAAAATATTTAATTTTTGTCGCATAATTTTCAATGTTAAATAAAAATATATGAATAAATTCATAATCTCTCTCATAAACGTATGTGTCAAATTCGATAAAAGGCAAATACATCTACGCTATTGTTATATAAATTTTTCAGGATACCTTGTATGTAAAATAGACATGCGACTCAAGTCCATACATATGAATGGCCAGCGGGCATATCTCGTGCATATATATACATACACAGAGTAACGCGCGCGCGCGCACGGAACAGTCTCTTCTCGCGTAAAGTACTCTCGCGCCTTCTCCGGCAGTCTGCGTGCGTCCACGCTCGGTACGTTATCGTGGTCGCGTTTGCGCGCTCTTGCGCACACACGCGTACGCGTGTGTGTGTGTGTGTGTGTCTTGTTTATTAGATCAGAGGAAGCCAGTTTGCAGTGACGCATACGGAGTGCTGAAGACACGGCAGTGAACACCTTGGCTTTCCTCGAGGCGTAACGTAAGGAGCGAGCACGTTCTCTCGCGATCGTATAGTTCTTTTCGCTCGAGTGCTCACCCTTTTCGCTCTCACCCTCGAGCAGAGGGTCTAACGATGTCTCGTCAAATGAACAAATGATCTGTTTGCGAGACCAGACGTTCAGACCGGAAGTGAGCGTTCCGTCCGTGACATCGTCTCGCTTGGATAACGGAAGTTGGAGTACCTCGCGTAAGCTTTTCGTTTGCCGCTGAATCTGCGAATAGTTGGCTCTCCAATGTGAAAAAGAAAATAATTGACCTTGGAGAATTTCAAAAGCCACCGCGATTGATAAATGTGTGTGTCGGGAGGCGCACGCAACTTCCTCATATCCAATTACGAGAGCAACTAAAATTATTTCATAGTTTATTTAAATTAGGAGATGCTAACACACTGACTCAGCTATGCGCGCGCGTGGCGAACCTCTCTGTGTATTCCGTAAAAAACTCGTATATATGTATAATAAATACGTCCGCGCGTAATCTAAAATAAATTAGATATCTCTCGTGTGCGATTAAGAATGATTAGAGGGAAAAAGCAATTAATGCAAAGAATATCGCTAAATTCAAAGCGAATATTTAATATGAAAAATATCTGAGTTGACTCGACGCAATGGTTCACGTTGTAAATTTTTCATTGCTATTAAATATTTACCAACCAAACACGTTTATATAGCAGAAGAAGCTTGAATATTGAGTACGATTTTATATCAATAACAGGTACGACGATAAATCCAAGCGGTTCTTGAGATCGGGGGGAGAAAATTCTTTGGAATATTTTTTCAGTCCGGAGATATCGTAACCATTCGAATAAAAGGAATTTTTTGCTAAAAGCAAACACACAGTGGTAGATTCGTCACGTTTCCGCGCGGAGATTTATACTGTTCACGTGTATACATATCGAAAATGTGCACACGTTCCGCATCGAAAATATCGCTCCTACACACGCGACCAATAAACCCATCTATATCATCCTCCGTTATATGTTTCCGTTATATTAATTCTCATTTCAATTGCACGCTACGAGAGAGATATCGCATAAAAAGACAATACCGTGGCATAAAATTTTCATGCTCTAATTATTTATTTCGCGAAGATAAAAAAAGATTAATAAAACAGAAAGGTTTTATAAATCTGCGGTTTAATATTCCTCGCATTTCATAATTTGTATTCATTATATTAATTATAACAATCATATTAATTGTGCAAGTTTGTGTAAATATATTCAAGTCAATTAAAGATCCACGTGTTTGGTACGATTTACTTTTCTAAATTATCCGCAATTTTAGCGGGAATTTATATATTTATTTCTGATTTGAACCAATCATTATACATTTTTACCGGTGAATCATAAAGAATTTCAGCGATTAGATAATCTTAATTCGATTTACATATCACGAAAAAACATAATTTTAGGATGAAATAATTGTTTCTATTTTTATCTGTCGTGGCAAGTGTTCGACGGTATTGACTAACTCAATAGCGTCAGTTTTTTTTTATATTAGTAACCAATTATATAACAAACGATTCAGTTGTTAATTAAAGAAACCAATTGCGATTGAACTTGATCGCATTTTCGTTGCAACAACGTGCCGGAGATTCATTTATCGCCGCGACGGCCTCGTGTCAGCAGTTTCTACCGCGTTGTTGAACACGAAGCCGTCGACTGATCGCGTGACCGCATACTTCCGTTCTGACCTCTGGTTTTCCTCGTTTCTCAAGCATCCAAGTTCGACGTGAATCCAAGGAATCAGTCGGCGTTCCGAAGGACCTCGCGATTCCCCCAAGCGAAGTTGCGACTCCAGCCCAGGAGCTTCAAAGAGAAAAGGAGCAAGAGGAACCATCGTCGCGACAAGAGACCAAGGAGGACACAAAGGAGTCTCGTGATTATGGACAGACACCTTCGAGGGAGAAACGATCGCCGTTGTTGGAAGAATTAGTCTGTAAGCACGAGGAGGACAATTTGATCTGTAAGGAGCACTCTTTGGAATATCAGAGCCAGACGCTCGAAAGCCAATCGGATCACCTATTCCACGAGGTGATCACTTCCTCCTTGGAGGACCTATTGAAAACAGTTCCCGAGAGTTGGACCCGTGAGGTTTACGAGGAGAGCCTCGACGAGGTCGAGCATAGCTTCAAGGAAACACAGTATTCGCCTAAGGAGAAACGCGACGTACAGACTCAGACCGTGCAGGAGTCGAAAGGCACGCAGTGCAGTCCCGAGCAGAGCGTGACGACTCCCTGTGACGAGGAACAGCCTAGTATCAGCCCCTTCCACGTCAGTCGCAAATACTTTCAAAGCCCGAAACGGGAAGTGCAGACGCAAACTCAGGGCGAGAACAAGAGCGTCCAGTGCTCGTTGGACGATTTGGGTGATCTCGCGAACGTCGCCGCGGGCAGTTCCATCAGATCGGATCAGACGCAGGAATCAAAAAGCGTCCAGTGCATCCCGGAGGACCTCTCCGCGAGATCGTTCGACAGATCGAGATCCTCCTCTCGGGAGGACGTCCTGCGCAGTCCGCGGCGCGAGGTCGAGGTACAGACTTATCAAGAGTCGAAGGCAATCCAATGCAGCGACGACGAGCTGCTCGAGGCTGATCAGAGCACCGATCGTTCAGATCGCCCGCATCACAGCAGACCGGCCAGCTCGACGTCTAGGAAGACCGAGAGCTCGCCTTCGTCGAGTTCGAGTTCGCCACGCAAGTTCCCGACAGTCGTCTTCGTGGAGGGCAAGGGGGACATGACCGTCACGCACAGGGAGCGCGATGGCGACGTCACCTGGTCGAAGCACTGGGGCCCCGAAAGACTGGTGGAGATATATAGGGAACCGAAAACCAGCTTAGGACTCAGCATCGTTGGCGGGAAGGTAGGATGTAATCCAATAACATATTTGACATCGCGACACATCTGACACATCTATGTCATTTTTTCACGATAAAACTTGATCAAGGGAGAACATAAATTTATTTTCTTACGAGAAATATTTAATCTTATTTAAAATGTAATATATTCATTGTATGAATATATTACATTTTAAATAAGACTCTCTGTTAATGTTTTATAATTACGTTGATTACAATTCATTATTTTCAAACTTTTATCTCTAGCCCGATCTAACTATATTAATTTATTATTTCGAATTGCACTCGCGCTATTGTAAGTACAAGATTGATCTCGGATTTATAACGAATGAGTATTACACACACACATACACATACATAGTTACAAAATTTATTTTTACAAATTTCAGTGATTCGATCGATGCTGATAATTCTGATTTATTGCCAGTTCACACGTGCGGTCGTGTCGGGCTACAATTTTTCGTATCTCTTTTATTAGCACGCACGAATATAGCTGAGAATATGGATGAGGGTTGGTTCGCCGATATTGCCGCGGTATTTTATAGCTCGCCTTTAAAATTGGGAATGTTACGACGGCTATCGAGACATTTGGACAGAGTTAGCGAAGTAGGTCGAACCTACTCGATGGCTGTTAGGTAAAACAGATGGCTTGATGGATCTCTATTTTGTGCACATCGGTTGACTTGTGACCTAATAATTCAATCCAATAATTAATGTAAAATCTTATTAAAACCGATATACGTATGCATGTTCGAGACTTTGGTTAGATGTTTCACAGATTTTATGCGATTTTGCGAATCAATTCACGACGCGAGGTTAAAAGCTTCTATTAATCGAAATATCGAGAGTGTTGGTCGACAAATTTAATCAATGAACTCTTTATCGATATACATCGAGTCGCTAATGTCATCCCGCGATGCACATCGTATGCGCGACATCCGCACTAACGCCGGTACACTTTCCTGACATTAAGCCGACAAGACGACATAATAGGATCATCGGCTTTGGTTTTGGCAACTTCTCTCCTTCCCCTCCCGTTGCCTTGAAAGCTCTTCGGAATTACATTTCAGACAAGCTATCGGAATTATTTGGATAATGCAACTCTGTATCCAATTAAATGGCATAGTTATTTTTCCCTTCTGGATACAGATAATTGATATTATGCACGCGCGCGCGATTATAATACATAGATAATGCAACAATCGCAGTATATAACTCGTTGCTAATTAAATACCGATACGTTTGTTTCTCTACTCGGGAATGCAATCGATTATCTGACGTGTTCGCTGAATTGCGGTGTTGAATAATTGCTTTAATTCGATTAACGCTTGTTGACGATGCGGCGATAAAGCAATGAAAATAAATGACCGGGGGAAATTGGAACGGGAAGGATATCGGATCGGAAATCACGGGGGCTTCTGCCTCAAATACCTCGGTGCTCGCCAACGACGCGGTTCCCGGAGTTAACGAAGTCGGAGACCAGCGTGACGCTTGCACAGAGCAGACCCTGATTAAATTTAACTACGCTTAATCTGTGTGAATCGACCAATCACGGTGCTCCGTTGATTGCACTCCGTTTAGCGGGACATTAAGTAAACGACGATCGATTTCTCATTTCAGGTCGATCTACACAACGGCAGCTCCAGTAAGTCCCAGAATATCTCAGGGATATTCATAAAGAATGTGCTGCCAAACAGCCCGGCCGGTAGAACCGGCGGTCTCAAGGTAACGCGGTTTTTCTTCGAATACATTTTGCTGTCAATCGCGAAAATCATATTTTTCCATCTGGGCGATTATATCGGAAAAATAAAATAAAGCGAGAAAAAGCGTGAATTGCTGTTTTCGTGATATTTCGATTGAGATTTTATCATGTCGACAATACTTGTGTACGTAAAATGGTCGCGTTTTAATCAACGAAAGCTAAAAAAGATTGTAACTTTGATTTATAAATTATCACTATGTTTTAATTTATTATCTTCGTATAATTATTAGCGCGTATATTTATATCGCGTTCCTTCCTTTGCGATATTAAGCGAAATTAAGCGATATTAAGATTCAACAATCTGCGTTTGTGTGCCATGAGATTGGCCGTGCTCGGATTTAATTTGCCCTCTCACACGATGCTTTCAGATCGGAGATAGAATAATTGAGGTGGACGGCGTGGATCTGCGACACAGTACGCACGAGCGTGCGGTGGAAGTTATACAAGCCGCCGGAAATCCTGTCTGCCTCGTCGTCCAGTCCTTGGTGCACCTGGTGAGATTTTGGTCACGACCAGGAATATCGAATATATTTTCTCTCGCCTCGTCCGAGAATCTATGAATCAAAACTAACTCGCGAAACAGAAAAAACGCTGCTTTCTACAATCACGCATTCATTACATATACAAATATTTCCTATTGTGTTACGTATTCATCTTTTCCGTTGCACATGACCGTTAAAATGTCGTAACAATAACAAATTTGATATTGAAAGCAGTATAAATCGTTCGTGACGACAACAATTGCGATTTTTACGAGAAAAACGACTAACGGAAATAAATTTCTTTTAAAATTCACTGCCCGTCACTACACCGCAAGCCTTGCGTTATATACCTATTAAAACTAATCGTGAGCTTTATTCTGGCCCGCGAAAAAGTATATATTCCTGAGGGAAATAAATTCGCAACGCGCAGCGTAAATCCTTTACGGCCGTTGAAATTTATGACATTGCTTTATTCTAGCAACTATTGTACATTTACACGTCGTTTTATAGTTTGCAACTTTTCATTTAATCTTTTCTTTTTTTTATGTTCCGTAATCTGCAAGAATAATTTAAAATACGGTCGATATGCGTGTGTGTTTTGTTGAGAGAAGTAGAACAAATATTTTCCACCAATCAAGGAACTTGTTTACATTTAATATTAATTGACAATAATAAGTGATAAAAATGATTACTTGCCGGATTAACCTACACTCGACAGTCAAATCTTCTTTGAAAATTCTTGTAACAAATATTACATATTGACGTATCAAAAGAGTTTGAATACGCAAATTTAAACAAACTTCTGTAATTTAACAATTTACAATTAATACTTCGTACACTTTAATCTACATATTAATTATTTTATATAACATTCTGCTCGCATTTAACGACGATGTATGCGCGAATGAAAAGCCACATTTGTGCGCCTTAACGAGGTCACTATTATAAATCTCTCTCTCTCTCTCTCTTTCTCTCTGCGCACTGTTGAATTAAGTCGATTCGCAAGGTACAAAAGTTTTACCTTGCAATTAACCTTGTATAAACGATCGATTCCGGTATGTTACCGTGGTCTCATGGAAGACGAAATTGAACTACGTAATATAACCGAAGTGCGACGGCCGTTCTGCTTCTAAAGCACCACCGATAGACGCATTAGGCGAAATTGGATGCAGGCGATAGTTGAGATGCAAGTGTGCAGTGATACGATAGGGAAACTTCGCATGGGGAACGCAACGCAAACAATTCTCTCGACCAACGACTTTTATTATCCTTCTACGCGAGTTTTATCCAGTCAATCGCGGATGTTTACGGCGTCGAGCTTGTTGAAACACACTCGTAGTTCGAGAGCTTTCGCCGAGAAGAAAGTTCTCGATATCTTTTATATCGAATCCTAAGCTCGAAGTAACGTTACGTGACGTCGATATAAATTTAATATCCACACTGTTTTCCGAATGTGTTACGTGTATTTTGTTATTGTGTATTGTGTTACGCTATCTCTGTCGTACAGCGCAGAGATGCGAGACGCGTGAATACAGATTTTGCTCTTGCGGTGGACGATAAACTCGTAGCGTACTTGAAGAGTCTCTTGAGCTCGTAATCTCTCGACGGTAAAATTTATATACTTTGTATCTGTTCTAACTTTAACGACTTTTGTGCATGTAGTATAGACCGAGTTTCCCGGAACTAAAAATTTGCGAGCGTTCAATACATATATTCGGTAGCGTATTGATGAGTCTTATAATTTCCTGCTCGTGGATGGTTACGATCAACAGCCGCGTTATTTTTGGCTCTACCGAAGAGCACGACCTATTTTTTTTTTTTTTTTGATGCTTCAAAGTTAGCTTGAAATGAAGCGGCCGAATACGTTTCTTCTTGATTCGTACTGTGTTAAATGTCGCTTCGACATAGGTGTCAACCGTGACACTTGTTTGTCGTAGCCACAGCAGTTGGTTTGGCTACAATTGACCGTCCTCTGAAAGCGACATCAACTTCCTCTAATTTCAATCGGGCGCATTCTCTCGAAACCGTCGATGCAGGCAGAATGGCGATGTCGAGATATGTACATGCTCGTGAACGACAGAGTTGGAGAACAGAAGAAAGAGAGAAGAAGGGCAAGGTGAAAGCGTAAAAGAATGAGATGGAGTGAGAGGACAAAGGAAAGAGCGAGGGAGATAGATGAAGAGAGAGGAGAAAGAGAGAGAGAGAGAGGGAGAATATGGAAAGAGCCATTATCGGTAACAGCTCTTGTACGCGTACGATGCACCGGGGTCGAACTTTCCAATAAATCTCCATGATGAGGGATGGTGAGGGGCAGAGAGTGAGAGAGAGAGAGAGAGAGAGAGAGAGAGAGAGAGAGAGACGCGATGATGGAGATATGTAAAGTTAGGAGAGATGAGAGGTGGGAAGATGATAGTGTAAAGACGCGTTCAGACAATGTCGGCGAACCATCGATTACATCACAAGACGAAAGTGTTCTGTTCGCAATGTCATCGATTAATTTGAATAACTGAGTAAATGTAATGTCATATATATGATCGATGATAATTATATCATTTAAAACAATTTTTTATGCCATTTTTTTTTTTTTAATTTATAAAACCCTTGTTGCGCACCAAAAAAATACTGTTGTTAAATTAATCGTATATAACATCGAGATGACAATATTAATTGGATAATTCACGCGAATCTTTCGACACATCATGCTCCTGTGTTTGTCGAGATTATTTTGAGAGATTTAATAGCCAAAATGAATAAAAACTGTTTCCAATTTTCACACTCTCAACTGAACGCACCTTTATGGGGGTAGGGGGAGGGGGTAGATACAAGCGGGAAAAAGGTCGCGCTCGCCAGAGTTAGAGAGTCAGGGGGGGTTGATGCGGTTCGCCGGAAAAGAGTGGTCTCGTTGCGACCGAGCGCGCTCATCGTCGACACCATGGACCATCGACGGGTTCACCTTGCCTCCTCTCCTCCCTCCCCCCACCCTCCTCTCGGATATACCGATGCGCCCCCGTACCGTATGAACAACCATCCCCCGTTCTCCGTCCCCGTCGCTCGCATGCAAGAACTTCAGTTTCGTGCACGAAACCGCCCGGTCGACGGTGGTGTTCATCCGATGTCATTCGACTCGGATTGTCACGGGGCGGCGCGATGCACCGATTCTTTGGACGCAAATGCGTCATCTCCGTCGTACGTTATCACGCGAAAAAGCGTACCGGGGGGAATCTCATCGTTTAAAAAAAAAATTTTTTTGTTCACGATTCGTCGAATATGATCTCTTAACTCTCGTCGGCGCGCACCTTCGCGTGGGTTCGCGCGACGCGCAACTGGTGCATCGCATCGACATTTGTGCGTTCGTTTGAGTATAACGTGTGTTCTTCCTCGAACTGTAAATCGTATCGTAAACAAAAGTTATTTTGGTTTACGATATAGAAACACGGGCGTGCACGAGCGTTGGAAGACCTTTGGGATTAAATGTAAAGTAATACCAGGAAGCTGTCACGCGAGCAGATGTATTTTGTGTACGCCATTTTCCATTGATTAAACTTTGAAGAACAACAAGAGAATTTCGAAATTAATAATATTTCGCGTTGTGCGCGTCTGACGAGAATTAAGGCTGCTCAATTTAAATTTTGATCTGATCGTTCACGCATTGCTGTATTTAGCTTCAATTATCGCCACGTGATCGTATAGAGTGTTCTTTAATAGCACATGTTTAATCTCAAACAACACGAGAAGGAAATTAATCAGCAAACAGTCGTGTGATTGAATTACAATATTTACATCTTTATGAAGAAACGAATACGTGTCGCGTCATTTAACAGATGGATATCATCGATATCCATATATTTTTACATACCCGATAAAAATTCATTGTTTAATTTAATCTAATTTGCATCGAGAATTTATCGAAAACAGAAGCAAATTTTTCCACGTCCTCTATGTCAATCCCGTGGAATGTGCAGCAAGAGCCTCGTTCGCATATTTTAATCGATTACTTCGAAAAGTGTATACATATATAAAAAAAAATTATACATATATAAAACATATAAATAATTTTTATGGTCGATATCTCACAGATGTTTATGATCAATCATCTCGCAACAGCAGTCGTACAGCGTTTTATCAATACAATACTCTATAATTGTTTATATTGTTTTAAACATAATCGTAACCTTTTCGAAATGATCGATTTCCGACTTCGATTATATACTCATGTAAAAAGAAACGGAGAGAAGAATATAGAAGAAGAAATCGAGAGAATCTTTGAAATACACATCGCTGGTCCGTTTTACGCGTTACGGAATTAAACTCGTTCAATTGCAGTTACTTTGGCAACAATTCAAGACATTCAGCAAATATTTCCGTTGTACTAATTCATTCTGACCGGTTTATCCGGACGCTCTACGCAGTTTAGCAGTTTATGTCGTTGCTAAAATAAGTATAGATCTTCGAAACAATTCTGTGCGTGTGGAACACTATCCGCATCATATATTTTCTTCTTTACTTCTTCAATTTCCTCTCTATTTTTTCATCAAAAAAGATTCACCATCGCCGTATAAGTGTCTCCACACTGAGCTATCGGGCCACGAATATAATAGCTCGTAAACTGCTTAATGTCGTCTAGCTTTTGCCGTCGTATGAGTGTGTCCTATTTTACAATAAAATTTACAATTTGAAATTTTGAACGAAAGCACCGCATATATAAATTTAAATATAAATTTTGTGTATGTGGTCGTCTCATATTTTATTATTATTTTATTTGTTCGCGATGAGTAAAATTAATTGCATTTAATTCCTCGAAAAATATGTTTCAATTTGTATTTTATTGTATTAATATAATTTTATACGTAATATCAATATCGGAAATGGAACGTAATAAAGAGAGCGTTACTGAAGGTAACATTAAATTGGGACGAATTTAAGCTGGTTTGCGTGCACACGTCCAAGGATTTCCGTACGGAAGAGAGAATCTTGAAATTGTTGCAGAGCCCGGAGCACGGCAGCGCCGTCCAAGAGGAAAGAGATACCAAAGCCCGGAGGCAGACTGTCAAGAGTCATACGTCGCCGTCTTCCGGCATCAGCTCTGGAACGCCGACGGCCTCCTTTCGCCGTAAACCACCGCCAGTTTCGCCAGCGAGATCCATCACACCAGAAGTGATACAGGTCGGTTTTTTCATATATGATATCTTCTCGAATCGAATTTTTAATCTTCGAATTTATTCGCGTAAACAATAATAATATTCATCGTGATTATAATTATATGTAAATATATCGAGGTATTATTGTTGCATTAAGCAATAATTAAAATTTCCAAAGATGAAATCTTTAATGGATGACCGTCTGTCTTTCTGTTATTAAATTTTGCTGAACGATCGATTACTACAATTTATAACAAATATCCGTTCCAATCAATAAAAAAATGCAATTTGCGTCGCACAATTCGTTTCTTCAATCTGCTTCCCGCGAATGCGTCAAGCATGAGAGACAAATACAATTGCTGCACTAATTGGTAAATGGAAAAAGAGTGAGATAGAGGGGGGAGGAGGGAGTTTCACACGGTGGGGGACTTGCAAAGTTCCGCGCTAATTAATTTCTTTAATTGAATCAGCGGACTGCAGTTTTTTTCTCCGCACGACGACATAGTATATTTTTATCATAATTTAATAAATTCAGGTTATACAATTATGACAATAATCGCGTACGTGTGTGAGCTTTAAAACGTAACTCAGTAATTAATCTACGCGGTTTGCCGTGTACGTTTATTTCATATACATAATTTATGTCTTTTGATATATATTTGCATTTAATTTCTTAAGGGGATTGAATTGTTACCGCTTGTGTCATCTTCGTGAGAGTCTTATAATATTTTACTTTTAATATGAAAATTTCTCCGTTTTTTTCAAAATGTCTATTTGTTGCGTAGCCAGGACTTGAGGACGGTGACACTCAAAGCAGTTCGCGCGGAGATTCCCAAAGACCAAGTTCGAAAAGTTCAGATGGCTCAGCTTCCAGCTCACGAAGGTATGGTTGTAAAGAGGTTTTACCTTTTTTCGCTTTTATCTGAGATCTTTAGAAAACTATCATTATAAATAAATGCTCGCAACTGTGGAGTAAGAGAAACTTTTAAGGGAAATTAAAAAATTCTTGAATCCTGATGTTCGTTAAAAGATCGCAGGAATAATGTCATCGTTTTTACCTTTCCCCCATCACTATGAATCAATTTTAAATTTTTTTTTTTGATTTTTCCGAATCACAAAAGCGTATCTTTTATCGTGTCTCAGATCCTCCATGAAGAAGTCAATTCGAAAAACAGCCCCTTCGCCCCCAGTGAATCCGGGTATCCTTCGCGAAGTCAGCGAGGAACGAGAGGACCACACCGCTGAACCCGCCACGAAGCCCAAGTACTCCTCGGACGAAAGCTCGGACGATGAGGAGGATACTCGCATGCTGGAGGGCAACGTCTACACGAAGAGCGGCGTCGAGGTAACCGAACGTACCGATAGGCTCTCGATAGCCTCTCGATTCGCAAGAACGATGATGTAACGTGCTATAAAAATGGCTTGACTTAGATCTCGAGAAAAAGCGCCGGAAACGTGAGGCGCACGAAGGCGGAAATCGAGGCGGATCCGGAAGAAGAGGACGAGTTCGGTTATACGGCCAGTGAGTGCGATTTGTGCTAAATGTAACATCGAGGAAATCGCGATCGGGGAAACAATTGAGAGAATTGTGGTATTTATATACTATTTGCGTCACGTACGAAATCAATATTCATTCTATACGATTGCATTGGTTGCGTGGCAATCGCTGATAATGCAAAATTCAATTTTACTGCATCTCCGATTATCCATCTACACACTATGAGAGGGACAATTTTAATCGCAAGCACGAAATCCGACAAGCATGCATCAAATGGATTTATATTGGCCGATTAATGTACATTGCATGAAAATGTTTTTATTATTTTTTTTTTCTTTAATTTTGCAGACAAGGTACAGAAGAAGTATCAGCATCTCGGACATAAAGTGCTGATGGTTATTCTCGAGAAGGACAGACGGGGATTGGGTATCTCCCTGGCAGGACATAAGGACAGAAACCGAATGGCGGTGTTTATCTGCGGCCTCAATCCGAAGGGTGCGGCTCATAAAAACGGCGGGCTCCTCATCGGCGACGAGATATTGGAGGTAGGTATCTCTTACTCTTTTCTTCCCGTTTTTATGTCTCGCCATTTACGACTGCGGTTCTCGATATGACAGTTCCCGGCGCTTACTTCGCCATGTTGTTTAACTTTCGTTTCACGAGTTGTTTAATTTGTCTGTGTAGAACAACGATACTAAAGCTTGTGTTTGAGACATACATGTATTGAGTTTAAGGCAAGTAAGTGAGGCTAAAGTATGTTGAAAGTGATATAGACATATACTTTAAATAAAATAATTAAGATATAAAAAAGACTAGTGCTACATTTGGCATTTAATTAAAATATTTAGAATTTTTTCCAAATATATATATATATACAGGGTGAGTCATTTTAATCAACGCACGCAAATATCTCGTAAAGTAAGCAAGATGGAAAAAAATGTTTTATACAAAAGTTGTAGGGTTCAGAGGTTTATGAGATATTTGCGTGCGTTGATTAAAATGACTCACCCTGTATATATATTTGGAGAAAATTCTAAATATTTTAATATCCAGCTAGAAATTATTGATGTTTCGACATTTTCATTAAGCATCTTCGTTAAATAGATTTATTTAAAAAAATCAATAAATTAAAAAAAGCACGGGAAGTACAAAACATTCCGTAGGCGAAAACGTGTAGTCTTACTTTTTATTATGTCTTACTAACTTCATTTTTCATCTCTTTATTGCTCAAATACAATGTTTTTCCCTTTATTGATCAAAAAAGCTTTACATGTTTTTGTCAACTCAAATTCCGCAAGTTGCTATGACATGTTTTGCAACAAGCTTCATCTCGTCTCGCGTGTCGATAACATGACGATAAATGACGAAAACAAAAAAAGAACTTTATTTTCCATTCCATTTAGGTGAACGGTTGCGTATTGCAAGGACGGTGTCATTTGAACGCGTCCGCTCTCATCAAAGGCATAGCCGGCAATCGCTTCAAGATCATCGTTTATCGGTGAGACATAAGAGCTTTTCCCGTGATGTATAACACGTGACATAGACGACATGTATAACAAAATTCATTAAAACTATAAACGGATTTCGCCTGTCCCGATTGCAGAAGATCGAAGGCTGTCGATGACATCGCCGTAAAGCCGATAGTTCAATTTCCACCAACCTTGGATGACGTAAGTCTGTTTGCATCGTTTATCTTTTATCTTATCATCTTTCTCGAGATAGTACAAGACCGGTTGCAATTTTCGTAAAATAACGAGTCGTCGAGAAGCGATTAATGTTGCATAATACAATCTACGTTCATCGAACAATTAAATATCATCTGCATAATAATCTCAATAAATGTCAATGATCGATGTGATCTAATTTTTATTAGTAATATTTTTAAATAACGATATTGTTGCTATAAAAACTCAAATCAATTTAACATCGATGTATCTATATACGTTTATATAATACGAGATATTCGGTAAATCACCTTATAATTGATGTAGATTCTTCGCGATAACTCAAGAAATGACACCTTTTAAAAAAATTTCTTGCCTCTTCCGTAACTCTTTACGCGTGAAAAACGATTACCACCTACAGAAACTTTGATCACGTCCATGTCGAAGAAACCATTAGCGAATCTTTTTAAAAATCTCGAAACTTTCCTATCGAGATATTTGACTTTCGCGTCGAGATATGTTTATATGACACTACGTACTTATTATGATAGATATTCATATCGTTGTTGGCTTTCACCGATTTCTCAAAATAGTAAGATCGTGAAAATATGCCAATATGCCTCGACTACTTCAATCTAACATGATCATAAATTCACCTGCAGTTAATTATCACAAACAACATTGTTCGGCTCGCATAATTTCTATATACAGGACATGTCGCGAGCGATGTAACTACGATAATGCATGCGACGTAAGTGCATATCATATTGCCATGAAGTGATAATGTATTATATTTCAGAACTTTGCTTCAAGCTTCAGTAAGTACAAGGGAGTTCGCGAGATACAAATAAAGAAGGCAAGTATTTATAATTACGTGAAGTTGATTGCATCGATCCAATATCTCGCTCGACGAATCAATAATTTTTTAATACTGACTGTATCGTTCGTAGAGTCCGTATGGTCTAGGCATAATGATCATCGAAGGGAAACACTTGGCCGTGGGTCAGGGTATCTTCGTGTCTGATATTCAAGACGGCAGTGCCGCAGAACAGGTAATTTCTCGCTTGTACGAGTGTCGAGAGTTCCATTTTAACCCGAAATTCTTTACAATATTGCAGGCTGGATTGAAAATGGGTGACATGATCCTGGCCGTTAATTTGGATAGTTTAATAGGGCGCACGTACGATGAGGTTTGTATTTTTTTTCACTCCTTGAAGCAAAGAATTATTTGAGCTATATGCTTATTCTATCGATTTTCTTTTTGTTTTTTAGGCCACGGAGTTATTGAAGAAAGCGAGAGTTTCATTTTAACCCGAAATTCTTTACAATATTGCAGGCTGGATTGAAAATGGGTGACATGATCCTGGCCGTTAATTTGGATAGTTTAATAGGGCGCACGTACGATGAGGTTTGTATTTTTTTTTCACTCCTTTAAGCAAAGAATTATTTAAGCTATATGCTTATTCTATCGATTTTCTTTTTGTTTTTTAGGCCACGGAGTTATTGAAGAAAGCGCAAGGCGTCGTTGTGCTGACAGTTTGTAATCCTAACGAGAATAAAGTAGAACAAAAAGAGGAACAGAAAGAGAAAGATAAAACTAAACTTGGAGGTGAAGCTGCTGATGTTGCACAGAAGACGCCACAAAAGAGTGCATCAGGTGAGTTTGATGAAGTGACATATTAAATTTTTATTTTGATTTATGGAAACTGTCATAATTACGCACGCACACATTTACATTTGGTTTATAAAATTATGATCTGTCTTTATATTCCATCTTATTACTTGCTAATATTAGCAACTGCCAAAGAAGCGGAGAAACTGGCGGAATCTGAGAAAATCCGGCTGGATCCGAAGACCTGTCAGATTCCGGTCGGTCAGGAAGTGACGATAGAATTTCAGAAAGAGAAGGACCAGGTCGTAGGTATCGTCATCGCTGGTGGTTCTGATACCCTCTGGGTGAGCACATTTGATAATCTTTAAAATATAGTATTTTGCTTTTCAACATGATACATAACTTTGCATTATACTCATGAATACAATTTTTTTAATTGTGAAATATTTAAACATTTTGTAATTTTTTCAACATGATATATAACTTCGCATTATATAATTAATTTAATATACAATCCTTTTAATTGTGAAACGTTTAAACATGCATTATGAACATATAATGGCTATATGAGAGAAAAAATCGACGATATACGTATACCTAGATGTGTGTGAAAAATAATATCTTAAGTGTTTTGATAGAAATATTTATTAAATATAGTATTGATTTTATACGTTAATAAATATTGACACTAATTACTATAGTAATTTGATATCAATGTGTACATAATGCTTTTTTTCTAGAACGGGGTGTTTGTTCTGGATGTATTTCCCGAAGGCGCGGCCGGAAAGGACGGTCGGTTGAAACTCGGCGATCAAATTCTCAGTATAGGCAGCGAAAGTTTCAAGCAGATAGAGTCGCACAAAGCTCGTGAAACGATGTTGAAGCTTACTTCAGGAACTGTACGTGACACTTGTACTTCTAAGAATCATCATTCTCTTCTCTTAATGGAGAATGTGAAAGAGAAAATTAGCATCAGTTATTTCGCGCTCTAATTTTCTTAGAGAGTTCTTGTTAGATTAATCGAGCGAACGTCACGCTCGCGTTTACGCTCGATTCATTCGTTTGCAGATCATGATGACGGTGTTGCGCCATGAGAAACCAACCGAGGAGTACGAGGTCGAGATACAGAAGAAGAGCG